TTTCTTTAATCGAAATAAATGTAGAAAAGTAGCAATGGCAAAGAATCAGGGCCCTGGGGTAGATGACAAAACTCCTGGGTCATGTGAGATAGGACGCAGACCTTTGTGAGCCACAGTTCCCCCATTCCTTAAAGTCCTTATTTGCAATTGTCTTGGAACTGATTGATTCGCTTTTTCAACGATCTTTTTGTTTTCCTTTTCGTTAATTTTTTTTCCTATTTGGGGGTTAGCTTCATGGACATCTGATTCCCGCGTCGAGTTCGCATACCCACGTGGTTCCTGTTTCTCCATCCTAGGGGCGGGGCAAGAACCCGTGAGCCCGCCCCTCACGCCCCAGACCCGCCCCCTTGACGGCGAAGGCGTTTGTCCCCTACGTCTCTCCGTCCGCGCAACCATGGCGGCCGCCTCTCTTGTGGTTGGGTCGGCTCTGAGCCTGGGACCAGGACACGGCATGCATTCTCTGCCGCCGTGTCCCCAGCCACTCATGCTCCGAGACATAGCCCGCGTGAATGTCTGCCTCGTTGTGTCCGGGCTGTGGGGGAAGTTCGAGGGGGAAGACCGGCCCCACAGTGGCTGCGGCGGTGGCTGAGCCAGCGCCGCGCTGGGGAGTCCAGTACGTCCTAGCAGATTGTCGCTAGCCCGCCAGTAGGAAAGCTGCGGATGTCGCTCTGTCCTCTGCGCCCGCGTCCCCTTGTCCTCTTGCTCCCAGTCTTTGGTTTCTGCTCTGGGCCCTCTGGACGCTTTCTCAGAAAGCTTGCATCCTCCCTCCTCCTCGGAGACCTGCTCCTTCCGGAGTTCTCTCGCCAGTGGCTGGTGCTCAGTAATGTTTATCCGGCAGCGTTGAACCGTGGATTTTCCTCATTAAGAGAGGCATATAGCTGTGCCAGAGCAAACTGCAGCTCTGAATTCCAAGCCAGCAAATGGGGTGACCTTCATGTAACAGAGATTATAGGGATGCTTCATAGTGTGCTTGCCCCAGAGAAGTCTACTGGAAAAGGCAGATTTATTAATCATGAAGTACTATGTGGAGTGAAAGGCGCTGTATGAGGAGTGTGAAGAGCATTGAGGAGAGGATGGCAAGAGTCTAGAAAGGCTCAGCCAAGGGGTGGGCACCTCCAGTATACCAGCAGGTCCTATGTGTGCTGCTTCCTATAGTATCTCTAATTTATTCTGTTCATACTATCAGCAGCCCAGTCTAGGTCATCATCTCTCATTTCTGCAATAGTTTCCTGTTTCCCCTCTTGCTCCCCTGAATTAAATTCTCACAACAGCCAGAATGAGGTTTTTAAATTTTAGATCTTGTCTTGCTACTCCCTTGTTCAAAGTCTCCAAATAGTTTCCCATTGCTTTAAGATAGATAATACATTTCTTAATGCTTCATAGTGACTCTTCATAGTCTTTTAACGTTTTTCTAATTTTAAATTTTCATTCAGTCTTTCATTCTACAAATACTTAACTCTCACTATATGCTAGGCAGTGTTCTACACACTGGGGATATACAGCAAGGTCTCTTACCTTATGAAGTTTCCGTTCTTTTTGGGAAGTCACAGTATAAACAAGTAAATAACTAAATAAAATGTCAGGTAGTGTTTCGTGCTTTGAAGAAAAATAAAGCAGAGTATTGAGAATGATGGATTGGGGGTGTAGTGGCTATAGGGTAGTATAAGATAAGGTAGTCAGGAAAGACCTGAGAAAGTGACATTTGAGCAGAGCCCAGAGCCCTGCAAAGATCTGTGGGAAGAGCATTGTTGTCATAGGGAACTGCAAGTGCAAATGCCCCAAAGTGAGAAAAAGCTTAGGGGTGTGATAACGGAACAGAAAGAAAGCCAACATTGCTAGAGCCAGCAAAGGAGAAAGTCATAGTATAAGATGTCATAGAGTTAAGTCATGGCTCGATCTGATAAGGGCTTGTAGGCATTCCATTTGGATTTTTGGCTTGGATTTATTCAGAGTTTGGGGTCACATTGGAAGGCTTTGAACAGGGCATGGAAGTGCTATAATGTAATAAATCAAAAGTTTATTATATCTCACAAGAAGCAGTACAGCTGATCAAAGTATGCACCTAACCTATCCACAC